AAACCAAACACTGTATCAATACGAAAAATTGAATGGATCTCTCAAGTCATTGATTCCCTTACTCACAAGCAATCTAGTTTTTTATAACCTGATTAAATGGTATGCATTACTGGTATTGAAAACCTGTTCTAAACCCTTCTTCTTCTGACAGCTAGAAATTCTCCTTTCATTTCCTGCCGAGATAAACCTAAGGCTAGTTTGCTTTCATTATCTCTTTCTTATTTACTTAATGGATTTAGAGACAATATGATTCTTATCCTTCATTTTGCAAGGTTAAACAAGCCGAATAACATTAGCTTCTTCTCATAGGATAGTTTCTGGTCCTGGCAGATCTCTTTTGCATTGATTTGGTCCCACGCATTTGATAAAAATGCAGGTTCAGGGTTGTGTGAAGTTGTCCACTGTGTCTTTCAGAAATATTCTGACTGATGCAACACAAAATACTGTTTTCCTTTTCTGTGGAGGATTCACACTGATGTTTCATAATCTCTACATGTCACCTTACTGTCTGCTAATATTCTTACATTATTCTTACTTGTTAGTTATTTCCAGTTTAAAAAGCCAACTTTCCTGAGATAACTTAGGCACCTAGCTCTTAAAACCACGGGTGTAGGATTATGTGTGTTGTATTATTACAACCACTGAATTTCTGCAGTGTTGCTTCTCCAAGTTCTCTGTCTCTTCTTGTGAGGTGTCTTCTCCTGTTGTCTCATCATGATGTCCTCAACTTTGTGTTGTGAGCAGTGACCCAGATTTTGTGCCAATGTCACTAGGTATGATGTTGTTCCTCAGAAGCTTCTGTAATGACTTCCCTCCAAACTGACAGTTCCCCATTTAAACATAGCCAGTTATTGCTTCTCTGTTATCCAGTTCATATGCATTTCATAATTCCAGTCTTAATCCTTATCTTCTCCAGGATGACAGTTTTTCTCATAGCACCATACCAAATGACTTGCTGAAATCTGTTTTCCTGTCCAGAAACTTATGACCACCCATAGCTTAGTGTTGCATTTTATTATAGTACACATTATTGAGAACATCCTAATCTTCCTGTAGTTACCTGGATTTTTAATTTTTTTTAACTCACCCTTCAATTAAGGTACTCAGCTTGCTGCTGTTCAGCCAAACAGTATCTTCATGAACACACAGGTTTTTCATGTGTTCTTCATATGGGTGAAATGCCCCTTGAAGTCACTGGAAATAGTGAATAAATCTTCATCTTTAGGAGAGCTAAACTCTTAAAGAGCAGGGTGAAGAAAAAGACCAGGAATAGTTCCTGTCCATCTTATTTCTAAATTTATTAAAAGTCTAGTTTAGATAAAATGGTCAACAGTTTAGTACTGCTGTAGATTTAGGAAGAGCTAGAGTGGATGGAGAATTAAGTTCCATGTCTTCTCTGTTAAATGGGAGAAATTGTTCTTAAGCAATGCTCAAAGAAAAATTGTGTTAATTTAAAAAGCACCATTTGCATTCAATCTTTTAATATGTGATAGTCTTGCAATAATAGAGTAGGTTATTTTGGGCTTTTGTGTATATGTAATAAGAACTTTCCTTTTTTATTACATCAGTAAATCACAGAGATTACAATGATTTCAGAGCTTGCAATGCAAATTACATTGTGCTTATATATTAGCTATTGTATTTCTCTGCCACTATAATAAAGCATTGCCTTTATTCTAATTTCTTTCTTCTCATTTTTTTCATGATTATTCACATTTCTTGCCAACTTCTAGTTTCAGCTAGCATGAAAAGAGGCAAGCAGAAGTCCTTGCCAACTCATGCATTAGTTGTCCTGTAAGAATTGTTCAGAAGACAGCAGACTCTTCAGGAAAGTCACAAAGTCCTGCAATATGAAAAAATAAAAATTTTGTGTCTCCATGTATTATATGGAATTGAAGACAACTCCCATTCACTAGTTTCAGTGAATGTAAAGTGGTTGTATCATGTGATACTAAACGTTCATTTGACAAAATACCCTCTCTCTGCAGTAACCAGTAGAAGAAGCCGAGGCAGGGGTGTAAGACAATAAAGACATATTGTGATATAAGCTCAGCTGAGGCCTCAGGAGTCTGCAGTACAGCAATGTTGTGGAGAAAGTGTACCTTTGTGTTTAACATAGCAATGATGGAAGTCTCCCACTAAGCTGGTGGCTCACTCTTTGAAGCCATGCAAAATTTTACCATCTGCAGTTCCTACGCCACTAAGTTTTGTGGTTGAGCTACGTGAGTATTTCCTTTTCGGTTTTTGAATCTTGAGAGCATCATTGTATGTGTATTAGTTCTTTATGTGAGAAGAGATGGTGACTATTCCTATCCATTTCCCTTATGGTGCTACTGACTATAGATCTGGGGGTTGTCCCTCTTTGGATTACGCCCTTTCTCCCTCTATTCATCTAACAATCCACATGTGTGATCATCTGGTGGCCTTGCTTAGTACCTTTCTACTCATATGTTATTAATTTCAGATGGGACGTCATGATATTGACAAGGTACCTGCCCACAGCCTTCGAGATTCAGGTGCACTATGGACACAACCATATAATGATGTTTCTGATTCACTCTAGACTTGTCCTCATGCTATTTGCTTTTCTTTTCATCGACATGACATTTGCACAGAATTGCCTACTGAGTAACTAGGTTCTCTTTCCAGAGTGCTAACAGCTTGCACACAGCCTGACATTCTTCAGGTATAATTAGGATTGCCTTCTTCACATGTGCTTTGCATTTATGTACACAGAATTTAATCTGCCATTTTATTACCTGGACATTGAAAATCATCACAACTTTTGCAGGCAGCTTTACTTTTACCGTGCTTAATGATTTTAATTTGTATTCAGTAAATCTCGCCACCTCCCAAATCACCTCCTTTTCCAGATCACTTATGACTGCCTTGACCAATTCAGGTCCATTCTGCAGGAAATTTAATCATCTTTCCCTTTGCCTCCTAGGCTCGACCACCTTGCTTAAAAATTTCAAAGCAAAGTTAGGATCACATTGAATTGCCTTCATCTAGGTATTAATAATTTGAGTTGTAAAAAGACATTTTTGTCCTGCAATATGGAAAACAATTTTCTGTGTGGCACCAAGATTAAAACCTGCTGTCTTCAGGCAGTGTCATATTTGTTTGGAATTGTTTTCTCTGTATTGAGATCTATTAAAAGTGTTCAGTAAAGTCATTTAAAATTGATTAGTACAGTATTGTATATGTGTGATAATACTGTATTACTGGGTTGATTCAAATTTTTTTTTCATTGCTGCTGTTAATTTGTTGATTATCAAAAACAAAATCATTAGTATAATGAAGTACATCCTCTCGCTGTGATTTCAGTGGAGCATATCAAATAAACGAAGGCATCTGAAATTAGAATGTAATAAAAATGCGGTGTGTATATTAATAGAATATTTCTGTTAAATGAGTGCTGCTAATGATTCTGCTGTGAAGCTGAGCTTGTAATAAGTCAAGGGTTACAGAAGAACTTGCGCAAGAGGAGGACAGCATTTAGTATTACAGCGACAGTTTGTCATCTGTTTAAAATCTTTTGGATAAAATACATTATGCTACTTTAAATAAAACTTACTGTGAAAATTCAGGTACCATAAGTTACATGTGTAAAGGTAGTTAATGGTTTTTTCAGTTATACTCAAATACCGTTCTTTGTTGTGGATGAAGAAAAACTCAGGTGATTCTTTATGATCAGAGGACTTCAGAAAGAGTGGAGGGTTTGTGGGAAAGGACGCTGATACCATTCAGCAACCAAACAGCATCTCCTTCTTTCGTGATTTCCTCAGTGTATAAAAGACAAACTGCAATACCCATCTCAAAATCCGATTATAGCTCAAGCTTGCAACACCTGCTTAAACAACATTTTCTATCTAATTAGCACATTTTCTTTATGTATTAATTACAGACCAGTCTGTTTGCAGATGAAAAAGAGCAGCCTCTTGTCCTTTATCTGCTACTCATGGGAAATAATTCTTTTTCTCTGGAGTTAGTAGGTGTTAGCTTAGCAAAGAGTGGTGGGTCTTAAATGTATTTGTGATATTAATATTTTACTCCTCCAGATCACTTCCCATTTAAGAATAAATATTCATCACATTAAATTAATAATGAGCTAAGTTTTGTTTTAGGGAGGAAACTGAGTCAGAGAAAGTTTTATGATTTGCTCATAGTTTAGCTGTTAGCACAGAAAGGTATAAAGGCTAGATACTTTAAATCCTAGACCTGTGCTTCAGCCATGAAATATCCCCCTTCACTATTTAGAAGATATTACATTTACTAATTTGACAGAAGTAGAATGTCTTTTCTTGCCACAGAAATACATTGGAAATTACTCAGGGTGAGTTATAGTGGCATGATCTATAGCTTAATTGACATACTCTATTGCATGTATCCCTGCCAACACACATATTCCAATGGTTATATTTCAGTCATTGAATTCTTTGTCCATATGGAAAAAAAAAATAGTTTTGTTGAAGTCCATTAGTTTTTGACTGTTAAGTAGCACTATCCATTTGCATATGTCTGTAGGAAATACAAGCAGCTTTGTGCTTCATAGACATAAATCCAAGGTTCTCTTAAAAAACATCATCAGTGTTGGCTAACCTTTCAGTAAGGATCTGTGCTAATAAAGGTTTAGATGTACGTGAAGACTTAGTGTTTCATACATAGCAGCATTGAGCCTGCACCTGGGAGCTCAGAAATATTACGTACAGACTTTTGGTTAAGTATTTCATTTAGGTTTGCAGTTAGAAGAAGTAAAGATAAATGCAAGATACCTGCCCTTCTGTTTAGTTAGAGGACAATATTTACCTACTGTGAACAGTACTGAAACTAGGACCAAAACACTGTAAATAATTCCTACTGAATACTTTGAAGTTCTGTGCTTAAAAATAGCCATGATCTGTGTAGAACTGTTAATGGTCAAATTACCAATATGGGTCCTTTTGTGGGTACAAGCGCTTCCACTTAATGTCTTTTTTTTCCTCTCTCTCTCTTTCTAGATGCAGCAATTGTTCCATGAAAACTATGAACACAACCGCAAGGGTTACATTCAAGATCTTCACAACAGTAAGATTCACACAGCCATAACACTTCATCCAAACAAAAGACCAGCCTACCAATACAGGCTGCACAATTACATACTGAGTCGCAAAATTTCTGAACTGCGCTATCGGACCATCCAGCTCCATAGAGAAAGTGCCCTGATGAGCAAGCTCAGTAACAGTGAAGTAAATAAGGAAGATCAGCAACTGGGAGTGATGCCATCTTTCAATCATTTCCAGCCACATGAAAGGGACGAAGTCATCGAGTGGGAGTTCCTGACAGGAAAATTTCTTTACTCGATGGTGGAGAACCAGCCACCCCGGCAGAGCCTGAACAGCGTCCTGCGGGCTGCACTGGATGACACTGTGATGCAAGTGATGGAAATGATAAATGAGAACTCTAGATCTAGAGGAAGGCTCATTGATTTCAAGGAAATACAGTATGGCTACCGCAGGGTGGACCCTTTGCATGGAGTGGAGTACATCCTGGATTTATTGCTTTTGTACAAAAGGCACAAAGGAAGGAAAGTTACAGTACCGGTGAGACGCCATGCTTACCTTCAGCAATTGTTTAGCAAACCTTTCTTCAAAGAAGCAGAGGAGCTGGATGTAAGAAGCCTGCTGGAGGATACCAACACTGACACTCAATCTTTCTCTTTCCTTTCAAATTCTTTGAAGATTTTTGCCTCATCATTCCAAGGCACCAAAGACATTGGGGGACACAGTGACAAGAAAATACATATTCTTGTCCCTGTCACAGGAAGATTTGACATTTTCTCAAGATTTATGGATAACTTTGAGAAGACTTGTCTGATTCCCAGGCAGAATGTAAAGTTGGCAATAATTCTCTTCAGTTCTGAGTCAGGCCAAGATTCCAGCAAACACATAGAGCTAATGAAAGAATACAGCATTAAGTATCCCAAGGCAGATATGACCCTGATTCCAATGGCAGGAAAGTTTTCTAGAGGTTTAGGTCTTGAAATGGCCTCATCTCAATTTGGCAATGGCACTTTGTTGCTGTTCTGTGATGTTGATCTGGTATTCACACCAGACTTCCTCCAGCGATGCAGAGATAACACTATTCAGGGAGAACAGGTTTACTACCCTATCATCTTTAGCCAATATGATCCAAAAGTAATATATGGAGGCAACCCTCCAGCTGACAGTAGTTTTGTTTTCACAAAAAGAACTGGATTTTGGAGGGAGTATGGATTTGGAATTACCTGTATTTACAAAAGTGATCTGCTTACTGCTGGTGGATTTGATACCTCAATTCAAGGCTGGGGACTTGAGGATGTAGACCTCTTTACCAAAGTGATAACATCTGGCTTGAAGGCTTTCAGAAGTCAAGAAGTAGGAGTCGTCCATATTTTTCATCCAGTTCAGTGTGACCCCAATTTAGATCCGAAACAATATAAAATGTGCTTAGGGTCCAAAGCAAGTACTCTTGCCTCTACCATGCAGCTTGCTGAACTCTGGCTACAGAAACACTTGGGTGTCAGGTACAATCGAACTCTCTCCTGACATCTCAGCCTATTTGGCCTTTCTAGGGGGTTTACCTCATTATTGTTATTGTTATTTGATTTTGCTGTCATAGTTTTAAACTCCCTCCTCATTGTCTTCCAAAGACTGTTGACCTCAAACGGGATGAGGCTGCTGTTCACTGATGTTTCTTATACCTACTGAACTGGTGAGGTGAATTCCTTCATATTTTGTTTATTTGAAATTCAGTCAAGTCACAGCAATCATATGATCCCATGGAGCATATCCATCATAAGAGACTGCATCAGAAGAATGCTCTCTTTCGGCTTTGGGATGCAGTATCATCTTTGTTGCATTTATCAGATTTGATGTGATACAAATAGTTACTGGTGAAGGTACCACAAAAGTGCTTTATGCTTCTTCTGGGGATGGAACTCTATAAGATAAACTTGAGTTTTATAATTTATATGAGGACTTATATGTATAAACGCTACTTTTCTTCATCTTTAGAATTTTTAAAGTAAATTAATAACTATGATTGTACCTTTATTTTTTAAAAAAAAAAAAAGAAGAAAAGCTGAGGAGCTACTTGCAAATACAACTGGTACTGGCTACCAAGGTCCTTAAATGTCTTATAATAACAAACTCCTCATTGTTGCTCACTCTAAGTGTAAATGAACTTTATTTTCACAAGGAACAGGATTTAATCAAATGCTCATGTACACTTTAGAAGATTTGTGAACCAACATCCTTCATTTGCAGGCAAGAAGAAACTGACACAACATGGTCATTTATGATAAAGTGCAGGCATACAGTATTCTTTTTCTGAAATGCGTAGTATAAGTTGCTGTTTCTCGTTTTAGAATGAGTCTCTAATACATCATTTTCTTTTACATTCCTTTCATAAAGCTGCACTTGATACAGTGTTAGAAGTTAAACCTGTATGGTTTTTTTTTTTACATTTTCCATGAACATTGGTACTCAGTAGCAATTTGTTGTTAAAATTAAAATAATTGTAGAATAATTATTTAAGTTTCAAATTTTCCTATTGCTGGTCAAAGTTCCTTGCCAATATATTTATATTAGTGGAGGTTATAAGACTGTGTTAAGATTTATCTCTCTGGACAGCCTGAAGTTATCATATTGTGGTTTCACGGAGTAAAGTATTTAAAATTATACCAACATAAGAAATAATAAAACCAATTTCTGTATTTAAAAGAAATGTTTATATAGGGATAGATATGTGTGTGCGCGCACACGTGTGTGTGTGTATATCCCTATATATATAGAGATATACAGAGAGGCATTTCAAAATGTGTTCCTCTCTTCAGTTCAGGCAGCAATTTGTTACAATCATTGTTATTTTTGCCACATGCTTGAAACGTTTCATGTTGTACTGTGGTAAGAGCTCAAAGGCATCCAAGAAACCATCAGAATTCAGCCAAACTTAAATTAATACAGTGGGTACATCTAATAACCTCAGTACCTTTGATTTCAAACTATATTTCAAATAGAGCTAGGCAAGAAAAAGTAAGCAATTATTGAATTTAAGTAAGTTTGTAATTTTTTCAACTGTAACTGACTTCTTCAGTGTGTTTGAAAGTGTTTCCTTTCAAAAAACAACTAAAAGATTGGAATTCACTGACACATCTATTGGTATGAAGATATCCTGATAAATTTTGTAAGGCACGAGGAGGGTGTGTAGGTCAGTTAATGTCTCTTATCTGCGGTTCTCTGTTCTGGATTTACCGCACAAGGAAAAAGGCATCCCTGAAAAGGAGTGAGTAAACTCAGAATTAAAGGGCTGGCCATAGTTTTCTGTATGCTTTAAAAAAGGCCATCCACATTGCCTTGAAGAAGGTAGTAATTGTGGTAGATGAGAAGAAATAGAAGGTAATTCTTGCTTGTCTACCCTCCCCAAGGAGACCTCCTGGCTTCTTATTCTCCTGCAGGCTCTTGCCTACCTGGCCCAGTATTGTTAGCTCAAATGTCTGGAGAAAGTAAA